ACAAACCACCTTCAGAAAGCCCATACAACCTTCACATGACCTCATTACACACATAAAAATCACACTAAAGAAAGAAAAACCAATGAAATCCACCTATTTTCACTTCTATACACTCAAACACAGCAGAAAAACACATGAAAACTCCTTCAAAAGCTAGGATATCCTCCTCACATGAACCCAAACCATCAATAATCATCTGCATAAACCTCTCAACACATTCATCAAAGCATATACCACCTGAAATTCACCTACAAACAACCTATCTTTGCCTATTTTTCTTTCTGAACTTCATTCCCCCAAGTCTCTTTTAATCATAATGCTGCAATGTCAAGACATAGCTATTCTGATAGCTGTGATTCTTGCCTATAACTTTCATTACACCCATGTTCTATCTTCAAAACTACACTTGCTATGCTAATGTGAATCCATAGTCCTCCTGAAAGTTCATCTTCAAATCACATGTAAGACCCTCTGTTCATACCTAGACACACCAAAATGACCAATAAACTTTCACACACACTGTATCTCTCTCTAAACCATTACCTCCCCTCATTCTCAACCCATTGTACAACTCCTCCAACAATTAATACACCTCCAATACCTATGCACCTATTTTAAATACCCTTATAAATAATGCCACCCCTTATAATTATTTGTAGCTACTAAACTACTTATGAAATGAAAAAAAAAGAAAGAAATGAATAATGTAGCTGAGTCTTCTACAAGCATTTTGTGCTAGTGTAACTTTACTTATTGTGAAAATTGAGCTAAAAATTCTGATACACCAATTTTAATGTGCTTTTTTACTTCTGCATAAGGGTTGCTAATTATTGTACTTATAAACCTTCTTATATGCATTATTAAAAGTAATTCCTCTATAATTTCATAAAAATTTCATTTTGGTACTACCAGGTTATCTTCAAAATAGAGTAAAATAGAAAAACTTGTAAACTCAAAAAAAAAAAAGGATTTGAGTCATTTTTGTGGTGATACAAGACCTTTAAAGAGGATATTGTATGTTTTTGACCACATATAACATTGCTTCAATGGTCTGGGAAAAGAATAATGCTACCATATAATTCCCTTTTACTGTGAAACTTCCTCTTTCCACCAATATTAATGATTATAACACTTTTTCCACCTTTAAAACCCCTCTTACATGCTTTTTGTGAGAGTCCTGCTTCTGTCAGGCAAGACTCCTCACTAAAAATGACAAGGTGACTATGGGCTCAGAGACCAAGAGGGGAACAGGGTTCTTAGTGAGCACCTTGCTTCTGTCTAGCAAGACACCTCACTAAAATGGACAATGATGATTAAGGGCACAAAGGCCAAGAAGAGAAAGTGGGTTCCTTTACTATCCCAAATGCCCAGGACTACTCCCTGCAAGCCAGATGGGCACTGGACTTATCTATAACTAAACTAGATATCTGGCAAGTCCAGTGATGACCAGTGCAAATCCTTACCTTGCACTATCTAGTGGTCAGACCAGTGCAAATCCTTGCCTTGCACTATCTAGTGGTCAAACAAGCCTCAGTTTTTATCCTCTACTTATTATCTCAACTCTTGAGAACCCTTCAGCAAGAGTTAGATAATAAGCAGTGAGGAAAGGTTCTAGCTTTGCACCTGGGATGGCCAATAAAAATAAGACAACTGATGAATAAGAAAGATATGAGCTTTCTAGCAATGAGAAGAAATCAACAGGCTACTCTTATAGTAGATGGTGACTAAGATTTTCTCTGAAGATAGAAAGTCTATAATATCTTTATAGTTATTCAGAGGGTTGAAGTTAGTTTTAATGATGCAGATTCCCCTTCTCCTGTAGCAGAGGTCAGGTCCATCTTTTATATTCTTATCTGCTATCCTTTATTAGCATACACTCATTACAAAGGAAAAGCTTACTATGTCTTGTTATTATTAGTACATAACATCTTGTATGTTATTACAGTTTGAGTTTATGGTTTACAGCAGGTTACTCTATATGTAATCATGCTGTAATATGCACTTTTAATTCAGTTTTACAGTGGATTCTTAATTACAGCTCTCAAAACTGAGCTATGAGGTGTGATAAGAATATAGTTATATTAACATTGCTGCTCCATGGTACTTCTGAAGTACTCAGGGGCTGACACTTGTACTCCTCCTATGACCTCAATACTTATTATTATACTTCTTTTATTCACATTATGCACACAAAACTGGCTGGTTATCTATAAGAAAGTATAGAAGAGTGTTCTGGGGTGTTAGCTGTCAGTGAATTGTCTCAACCACTAGCCTGGCTCCTAGGAGCTCTGCTTTGTAGACAGTGTGGTTGGTTTCCAAGCCCAGACCACACTTCACTGTGGTCAGTGTATCAGGCACAATGGTGGCTGCCCTCACCCCCTGTGTTGGGATAAGGGAGCCATCTGAGAAGGTGGTCATCTGGTGGGGGTCTGAAAGGAGTCAGTCAGTACTGAGGTCAGTTACAAAGATCTTGGTGGCCTCTTTTGAGGTCACAATGTAAGTGTGGATGCAGGGGTAGGGTCCCAGGCCTAGGTTGGCTAGGTCAATCATCTCCATCTCACCTTTCAGCAATGTGAGTAGGGAAAGGGATTGTTGACAATCACCTGCTTACACAAACACTTCACACATGACACCAATTATGCTTTTACACAGTTATTTTTATGGAGTTACATACTTATATCTTGTATCCAAGCCAGATGTTGTTTAGGCATATTTCTCTCTTCACTTGCCCAAACAACCTACTATCACCCACTGCCAAGATATTTGCATTGCATGGAAGCTTGCTATGTAACATAGCATGTCTTCATGTGATACTATGGACCATTTTTCAAGGTCCCTACCTTGGAAAATAGACCTATTGCATCGCATCTTGGCCTGCTATGTGACATAGCATGCCTCTATGCAATGCAATTTTCTTGGCAGTGACCACATCCATCTCCTCTCCTTAGTACATATTTTATATACTGATGTATGTGTTGATAGTTCTCTCCATTAGGAGTGAATGGTAGGCAAGGTGGAGAGCTATTTGGAGACAGAAGTATCCTTTCACCTTTACTCATTGTGCCAGGACCCCCACAGGGTTAGTGTCTGGGAGCATGACCAGGTGTGCCACTCCTAGCACCACTCTCAAGTTGAGGTGGTCTGTCAGCCCTGAAGACTGCAGAGCAGTCCTGCAGACTGTTAAATACCAATTATACATAGTACTATAATAGTACATATGTAATTTCTGAGATAAAACAACATGTTTCAACATTTGAGAAATTCACACCTGGGGTATCAGGTGGTTAGTAAAAATGTCAAAATGGGCTATGTAGCCTCTTAATTGAGCTGAAATGCTTCTGTGAGAGAAATATACACCTGGCACACAAGGCACAGGGGATCAGAGGAGAAAGAGGTGTAAAATAGAGATTCTGGTAATAAAAACATTCAGTGAGTACATTTTTGAGGAGTATAGTAAAAAGGATTTTTCTTGTTCTTTTTTTTTTAGGGAGAGGGACTTACAGATTCAATTCTGATGAGGGAAAAGAATCTGTCCCAGTGAATGATCCCAGATATCTGTATTCAAGTTACACTTTGACTTATTCCCAAAGTAGAAAAAACTGAACCTCTCAAGTCACAACTTGACTTATTCCCAAAACACACATATAACTCAAGTCATTGTAGACCCATTCCCAAAAGAGAAAGAAAAATTTGAAACACTCAAGTCACAAAATTGACTTATTCCCAATAGAGAAAAAGAAAGAAATCTCAAGTCAAGGATGACTTATTCCATTCATAAGACCTTAAACTTGTTGCATGCACCCAGTACTTTTATGAGCCTGAAGACCTTGACAGGATACATTACTATACCATAACAATTTCAAGTGTAACAAAAGATTACATATAGTACTAACAAAAGTACTCATGTAATCATAATAGGAAAACAACATTAAATCTATGTACAAACAGGTAATAATGAATAATCATAGCACAGGCTCAGTTTCAAGAGCTTAAGTATGTACTTATAACAGGAATAGATATACAACATGGTAATAAGTACTCAACCACAAGTAGGCCATTGGCCTAATAGTGAGGGACAAGCCTGAGAACAGGGTATATAAACCCTCCCCATCAGGCCAGGAGTGGGTCCCAATCCCCAGCCTTTTAACACACACCTAAAATAGCACAACTGGCACAACATTGAGGATAATTGTAAGACAAGTCATCAGCTCAATAGTGCCTGGTGCTCTAGGTGTAGAATAAGGGGTTCAACCAAAGGTTGGTAGACCTTGCTCCTTGATACCCTTGTCTGTGAAGACTCACAAAGATTAGAGGTAAAGAATCACCCAAGCAGGAAAAGAGCACCCTGGCTTGTAAAAGAAGGATCAGAGTGGAGTGTTACTAGTTCCTAACTGTAACTCTGATCCCTGAGTGAAAGATTAACTCCCAGACCCAGTCCTTCAAATCCTTATCCTTGAGGTCAACTAGCTGCAGTCAGTACTTGGGGGATTCCCAGTACCACTGGAATAAGTCATTGACTTGGGTTTTGAATACCTTTCCTCCCACAGTTTTGTTCAGGTAGGTAGCCTTTCAGGAGCTACCCCTAACATCAAGACTGCTAAGTAAAGGATTTCCCTTGGAAGGAATAAGTCCTTAGACCTTTCCTTCTCTATGTCACAAGGCAGAAAAGTATATGTGCACTATGGGATTCAAACCCATGATCTATTTTACCTGAACTCTAGAAGGGTGCTCTAACCACTGAGCTAAGTGTGCATGGTGAATCAAGTGTTAAGTAGGGATCTATGCATGTACAGTCTGACAACCCAGAATGGCAAGTGTGCTTGCAACCTTAGTCCAAATACTGTAGTACAGAAAGCATAGAACATGTCACTATAGCAACACTCCCCCTTGTTCTGTACTTTCTCTACAAGGAGCCATAGCACACATAGACCTAACTGACTCATGAAGATATGCAGCACACATTGCTCAGCTCATAACCTGTCACAAGGCAAAAAAGTATATGTGCACTATGGGATTAGGACCCATGATCTATTTTACCCAAACTCTAGAAGGGGGCTCTAACCACTGAGCTAAGTGTGCATGGTGAATCAAGTCTTACAACATTAGTCTGAATACTGTAGTACAGAAAGCATAGAACATGTCACTATAGCAACACCCTAAACTCTAGCCAAGAGGTAGCCTTACAGAAGCTGCCTCCTGATATGGTCAAGCATTGTTGTGGAGGCAGTTTTGTGTTTGAGATGGAAGAGCAAGTGGGATTTGAAGGCCCCTAGTCTGAGGTGTTGTAGTCACTGCCAAGAAAATTGCATCACATAGAGGCATGCTATGTCACATAGCAGGCCAAGATGCAATGCAATAGGTCTATTTTCCAAGGTAGGGACCTCGAAAATGGTCCATAGTATCACATGAAGACATGCTATGTTACATGGCAAGCTTCCATGCGATGAAAATATATTGGCAGTGAGTATGTTATTGATGTGTTGGATGGGCTTCAAAATGACTGTGTTCTTGCCTAGTTTATGGCAGACCACTGCCACATAATCTGTACATGAGTGAACTAGGGTGGTGGCAAGTTAGGAAAATTGTGTAAGGAGTATACCCCATCCCATTATTGCTATCTTGCTGAGGTGCAAGGCCATGTTCCTTCCTTTCTTGACTATTGCCTGGCTTTTGGTGTTAAAGAGAAGTTTGGTTTTGAGTATAGAATGCAGTGAAGTCTCTCTAGAGTCATGAGCTCAACACTGATACACATGAGTCAGCCTCCAGTTCTTGCTGCTCAAGTATCAGGTTTGGGAAGTGAGATAGATCAGAGAGAAAAGATGAGGAGAGAAGAATCTCTGATCTACCATGTAACAAGACTTTATAAGGGATGTGACATTTCTGTACAAATGACATAATGCAGTATGACTAAGTATGTTGTCATACTACCATACAGTATCACACTATTACAGCATTGAGTGTTGTTCCTAGCCATTTAACAGTGGGTTGCAGTTTGAGAATTCCTTGGCCAAGGTCAGTAATGGGTAAGGGTTTTGGGAGCACATGGTGGGTGAGTAGAATCCATTGGCCCTTTTGTTTATCAAAGGAGACCTCATGTCTTGCACCCCAGCATATTTTTTATCTGCAAGGATCTGGAGGTTTCTTCAAACCCCATTGAATCCTTGTTGGGCAGTGATGAAGCTAACATTGTCAATGAAGCCTAGGAAAATAGTGTCAGTTATGTTGCTTGCCTGTGTCAGAAGGTGTGAGTTGTATAGGATGTAGTGAAGAACTGAGAGTGGGGAGCCTTGGGAGGGACCAATAGTTAGCTGCTTTGGATCTGATGTGTAGTCACCAGAGCTGATGGTGGTTGAGCTGTTTGAGAGGTATCTGAAAATTTTCACTGATCCTGATACAAAGGTGATCCAAATGGGGTTGAGCACCTTTTCAACCCTGATCACAAACACACATGCTGACCTAAAATGTCAAGTGTGAGACAAATAAGCTCAAGGATGTCAGTGAAAGAGAAACAAGTCTATGTATTCTGTAGATAGCCAATTTTAACATAGTATCAGGGTCAGGTACTTGTGAGACAAATTGAACAGAAAGAAAATAAGAGGGAGGGAGGGAAAAGTTGTGAGCAGAAAAGTAAAGGGGTGACTTACTCTTTCCCAGCTATTGTTAAGCTTAGGGAAAGAGCAGGTCCAGGGGACATGAAAGGATTGAGAGACAGTGATGGAGGGTCCTTGATATAAGCATCATAATCCTGTTAGCATAAGTAGGTGTGTGCTGCTGTATTTCCACAGTATCTGCAGACAAAGTTGATGATGTTTGGACATGCCCCCAAGTTATTGTGGGTGGGGATGTGTTTTGTAGGGTTCACTTTCAGAAAGGCTGCATTCACATCTACAAAAAGCAAGCCTACTACCTTGCCTTTGGACCACTGCTCCTTTGTCCAGGTGACTGGGTGTGCTAGGGCATTGGTTGTCAATCTCCATGGGAAGCCACCATAGTGACAATCCATTAATGTGTGATTGGCTTTGGCATAGGCCTTCAGACATTCTGCTTTGATTGCTTCAATGAATTTCCCAAGGCAGCTCTGTTGAGGGACATAAGTACTCATACTCAAGTGTATTCAAAGTGAAGGGCTAGATATACATATAGGTTACTCAATCTCTTCATGCTGAATACATAGAATATGCAGGAGATGGTGAAGGAATAATGATTTAGTTGGATGATTTAGTTAGGAAGACAGAGGAGAGGGTTACTGAAAGATAGACAAGTTGCAAGAGTAATGTAGGTTGGGTGATAGTGTGAATTTTGTGTTTTCATTTCTTTTCCTTTTCAGTTTTTGTTTCATTTCCTTTTTCAGATATTTCTTATTTCTGTGTGTAGTGGGATTGGGGTCAAGGTCTAAAAACTCATAAGGAGCTCTTGGCACTCCTCTGATTCTCTTTTCCCTTCCTCATTGAATAGAGAATCAGAGTGAGTCCCCTCCTTCTTACTCAACCTCACTAAGAAGTTCAATAGTTCTGATCTCACCTACAGAACCCCATTATTCTTTCCTCTGTTTGATCCCTGCTCTTTCAGGTTAGCTGTTTTTTCTGTCAAGCCTTTGCCTTGACCTCCTTGCTCACTGTCCTTGGTGGCCTGGTGTGTTGTGTGTTAGCAGTAGTGTTTACAGACTATTTTTTTTTTCTTTTCTTTTTGCTTTATGATTAAATAGAAAATTAGAAATTTCTTCATTCCTTCCTCTCTTTGGTCCCTGCGCTTGCAGGTTAGCTGTTTTTCTGTCAAGCCATTGCCTTGACCTCCTTGCTCATTGTCATTGGTGGCCTGCTCATACCAGGCCACACATAACTAGAGCACTTCTTAGGCTGTCAAAACTTCACAAGCTCAGGACCACTATCAGTCTGTATGCTGTTGGGAGACAATAGCCCGGTTTTCTTGGCTTTTTGAGGATGACTGATTGTCCTTTTTTCCACACTGACAGGAAGAGGCCTGTCTGTAAGGAAAGGTTGGTTAGTATGTTAAGAGCTCGAGAGAGACATTTTCCCCCGGCTTGGATTACTTGGTAGGGGATTAGGTCAGTCCCTGGCACTTTTCCTGACTTGGTGTGTGGCTATGGTGGCATCGGTTTTGGCTTAAGGGAAGGGCATTGAGGTTACCGGTCTGGATATTAGCGGATGCGAGTCTGTTAGGTTTCAATGGATTGTTGCGGCACTTGTTCCTTGGAATAGTAGCTCTGCCTGCTCGGCCTTGTCGTTTGTGAGGGTACCATCTGGTCTTTGCAGCGGCGGGATGACCGCTGTTAGGTTGGCTGGGTTGGTTGTGTACGCGGCCACTTTATTCAGTGCACGTTCGTCGAGGAAGCTGAGGAACTCGCGCCAGTGGGCTGTTTTCGCGGCTTGGATGGCATGGTGGTAGTCTCACCTTGCTTGGAGGTACTCGTTTTTATTGGTGGTGGTTCTGTGTCGTTGGTATCTGCGTCGCAGGCCTGCCGCTGTGGCTTTGAAAGAGTCAAGTTTACCCCGGTCCCACTACCATTTGATTGTGGTGCGGATGGGTCTCTGTGAAGCCGTGGTGTCGAAGGCCTTGGTCACTGCCTCTGTGAGGTTTTGCGCGTGTTCATCGAGCGTGGCCTGCGTTAATGTAAGGGTGGTTTTTTTTTTTTTAAAAGTGTTTTTGCCATTGCATATCACACTTTACAACTTTTTTATGTACAAGACTAATCTACACTAGTCTGATCTTTGGCGTGAAGGACTTAATTAAGTTTGGTACTCCCCTGTATTTATTGTTTTAGGGCGGAACCCCCAGTTTTACTGAACTTATTCCACCTACATCCGCAGCTGACCTACGGATACGCCGGCCTCCGAGTAAAGGCGAGAAACGGACCAATCTTCGAGGCTGTTGTCGGTCGATCATCAAATAATTGTTGACGGTGCGTGAATCTGACGGGCTCAAAGAATCAGAATACCCTCATCGATCATGGTAAGCGTCACACTCTTTCCTTTTTCTCTCTCGGATTAGACAGCAGCTGACTGCCGAACCCTGCATTCGTTCACAACAGGCGACCACAAGCACTGGGGGTTCAAAGGACTCGCCACTACCACCCTCGAGGCTTCCTGCGGATCAGCAACGCGCGATTGAGCAACATGGAAGCATCAGCGGCAACCAGGCAGGGTCAGCAAGCAGTGAGATTAGCTATCTCAAGCATCTTGTCTCTGAACTATCCCACAAGGTTAGTCTGGTCGGGCCAAGGTTGAGTCTTTGACTCGGCTTTTGCTCACTACACCCATTTCCATCGTTTGTTCGGTGCCCCTGGTAGATTGACGAGCTGGAAAAGCAAGCAACGAAGGGAGCTGGTCAAGTTACCCAGTCTGTCAAGCAGACCTTAGGCTTGTGAGTCACATCGAACTTTGAGTCCGAGCCCAAAACTGACGAACACCAGAGCCCTCAACTGATATATTAAGTCGCTCATCTGATGCCTTAGAACTCCTACAGAGCAGTTGCGCCTCATTCTCATGGGTCCTCCAGGCGCAGGTTGAGTTTCCATGTCTTACTCATGGTTGAAACCACGTAAACTGAACCGCTTTATTCGATTGTTTGTACTGTGATACAGGCAAGGGAACACAGGCTCCCAAGATCAAAGAGAAGTACTGCGTCTGCCACCTCTCGACCGGTGACATGCTTCGGGAACAGGTCGCAAAAGGCACCACGCTTGGGCAGGCCGCAAAAAAGATCATGGACTCGGGCGGACTGGTGAGCGATGAAATCATGATTAACATGATTAAGGACCAGCTTGAAAACAACCGCGAATGTACCAACGGGTCAGCATCTTCAGTCCCTTCCTCACTACACTCTCATCTCGACGTTGTCTGGACATTGTCTGCATTAAATGCGCACGACCGGTCCTGGTGCCCGAGTGTGCTCCGAGATCCGACATTGGCTCAGTTAACATAAACTTCTTACATGCTCAGATTCATCTTGGACGGCTTTCCTCGGACAGTGCCCCAGGCCGCAAAGCTCGATGAGATGCTGGCCGCAAAAAAGCAAGATCTTGACCTTGCTGCCGAATTAGTCATCGATGACAACTTGTT